ATAAATATAATGTTTAATACGCCAATAAATAAGACCTACCTCATTTTTCATTGCACCATTTTTGTCTCTTCCTTACAAAAGAACGCAAACATGCACATTGTTAAAAAAAACACAAATGCACAAATACAAATGCAGTTATTGCATTTAATATATTTTGCAATATTATATTTTTCTCACCACTGTGAGCTGTTGACAACAGAGGACGGCGTTTACAAACAGCAAAAATGTTTGTGGTTAAGGAAGGACTTTTATCCTTTTTGGGAACAGTGGTTGAGCCCGCAAGGTGTTTTAATTTTCATTCAGTCAACAGACATTCACATGTCATTGCTTTTAATAGTAATACTATAATTAACAACGATACACCACGTAAAAACACCACATACATATAGGCATGCTGAATTTTGCACAATACAATGACAATAAAGACTTTATTTTCTTCATTTTTACTTGCATCAAACTTGTGCCTTTTCACATAAATATAATGTTTAATACGCCAATAAATAAGACCTACCTCATTTTTCATTGCACCATTTTTGTCTCTTCCTTACAAAAGAACGCAAACATGCACATTGTTAAAAAAAACACAAATGCACAAATACAAATGCAGTTATTGCATTTAATATATTTTGCAATATTATATTTTTCTCACCACTGTGAGCTGTTGACAACAGAGGACGGCGTTTACAAACAGCAAAAATGTTTGTGGTTAAGGAAGGACTTTTATCCTTTTTGGGAACAGTGGTTGAGCCCGCAAGCTGTTTTAATTTTCATTCAGTCAACAGACATTCACATGTCATTGTTTTTAATAGTAATACTATAATTAACAACGATACACCACGTAAAAACACCACATACATATAGGCATGCTGACTGATATAACTATAACATTGCACTAAATGGGTCGCGGGTATGGGACAGCGCAATCGACGCGCTTTGTATTTGAGCCTAGCGTGACGTGTCCGTGAGGTAACGAAGCTTCGTTTTCACAGGTCACGTGACTGCCTCATTTCAAGCAATGCTCCGGAACACCGTTTCGAAGCACTAGTGTGTCAAAAACTCGAAATGTGTGGACACTATAGGTGTCGATCTACCCATCCCTAGGGTGCATGGCAGCCGCAAAGGGGGAGCTCACAAGCACCCTTCTGAAAGCTAAAATGGTGAATGGGACACCCTACAGTCTCATAGACTTAACAGGCGTGCTCACATGGCGGCCATTGTAAGTCCACAAGACTGTAAATGCACATGATGTGTGCCATTTGGGATTGGGCCATAGTCTGGTGTTGTCCTTTCATGGATGTGCCAGTGAACAGACATTCACATGTCATTGCTTTTAATAGTAATACTATAATTAACAACGATACACCACGTAAAAACACCACATACATATAGGCATGCTGACTGATATAACTATAACATTGCACTAAATGGGTCGCGGGTATGGGACAGCGCAATCGACGCGCTTTGTATTTGAGCCTAGCGTGACGTGTCCGTGAGGTAACGAAGCTTCGTTTTCACAGGTCACGTGACTGCCTCATTTCAAGCAATGCTCCGGAACACCGTTTCGAAGCACTAGTGTGTCAAAAACTTGAAATGTGTGTCGACACTATAGGTGTCGATCTACCCATCCCTAGGGTGCATGGCAGCCGCAAAGGGGGAGCTCACAAGCACCCTTCTGAAAGCTAAAATGGTGAATGGGACACCCTACAGTCTCGTAGACTTAACAGGCGTGCTCACATGGCGGCCATTGTAAGTCCACAAGACTGTAAATGCACATGATGTGTGCCATTTGGGATTGGGCCATAGTCTGGTGTTGTCCTTTCATGGATGTGCCAGTGGCTTATGTCTTGTTTCTTGGTTTTGTGGTTTTCTTATTGTTTTAATTAACACTATCTGCATTTTGATCCAACTGTCCCTCATCTCGGAATTCTCCCATTGTGACACAGTCTGAGCTTTCAGGTTTTACTTTGGAAATCTCACAAACACAGGTGCATCCCCCTCAAACCCAAGAGAAATTTCTTATGAATGTCTTTCAGGAAACCACATCACTTCCAGTTCAACAGTCAAGTGGGTTGGTGAATGTGAACACAGAGCCTAAAGAAGTTGCCAGCAATGTCCAAAGAGACCAAAGTGGCCCTTTGCACCAGGAACAGAGTCCTCCAGAACTGCTGGAGACTTTTGAGGACTTGCCCATGCTAGGGTGACCATACGTGCCATTTTTCCTGGCCAGGATTTCTATATTGCCTAAAATATCTAGATTTTGGCTTTGTTTGCGTGTGCAGACCGATCGATGAAGTACCATACAGACGGTTATGCTTTCGAAATGCTCTCGAGGTACTTTAATGTCAAACACTGATCGGTCTGAGCCGCACTGCTTTTAAGTCGAACACACCTAATATGTACGCGTAATTGCATCGCTTTGACCGTAGATCCCACCTTCTCACCCGCCATGATTGGTCCATTGTACAATGCTTGCATGTTATTGGTCAAACTACTTTTCGATCATTACCTTCAGCAAGCATGAAAACAAAGCCAAAACAAATCCTGGCCAGGACGCGTCCTAGGAAAATGGCACTTATGGTTACCCTACCCATGCAGTCTGCCAACAGACACACCTTTCATCACTTACCCTGTGACTAAATCTCCAGGTAGCCTAAAAATCCCTAAAGGCTAGGGCGTAGCTGGCACCGCTTTATGATTTCTAATCTGTTTTGAGTTGTTTTAGTGTGTTGCTATATGTGTTTTCTAAGGTGTTCAGTGTGGTTGCTAGGTACTGAATGGCCCAATAATTACTTAACTGACCCAGTGTGGTCCCTCCAGCGACACATCTTTTTTTGCCTGTTTTATCATCCAGGTCAAAAAATGCTCAGCCCTCTTCAACAAGCCACCACATTTGAAGTGTTCTTAATGTCTGCAGAAGTGTGTGATTTTGACAGACAAAAAAAATAAAAAAGATATCTGGATATTTATTGGGGGGTTTTTTCGGTAATGATAATTAAACAATATTTTGCTAAGTGTGTTTTTGTGCTGGTACCTTGGCTGGTTTAGCCTGTCATAAATAGGCAAGGGATAGATAAGGGTTAGAGGCTTGTTTAAATCCTTAACCTAAAGTACCTGCAATAGTAATAATGAACCTTGTCTTAGCAAAAAAGAGAATCCCAGATATGAGTCATATATGTGTTTCCCATGTAGGAGTTCGGAAGCCCTGAGTGTCAGTGACCTGGAGTCAGGAAGCTTTATCTCTGAGAATTCCAAACAGTGTCTTATCAGAGGTGGTGACGCTCATTACTCTTCACAGACTATCAGGCTGAAAGCTGTGTATTAGCATAAGCACACATGCACATAACATAGGCAAGTTAATCACCACCTTTATAAAAGCTTCATGATACAACCCTGAAATTACAATGCAATGCTTTTGCCTACACCATCTCGGGTGTGAGATTACAGGACACATGTCCACTCCATTTAACAGACCCAAATTCACTGTTATGGCAGCCACTAATCTGTTTTAAAAGCACACTCATGCTGACATTTACAATTGAAGAAGGGTTTTGAGTTATATTTGTACCGAAATGTTTTTTGTACTTAAACGAATAGTTCACCCAAAAATGAACAATTGCTGAAAATGTACTCAGCCTCAGGCCATCCAAGATGTAGAGGAGTTTGTTTCTTCATTGGAACAGATTTGGAGAAATGGATCATTACATCACTTGGTCACCAGTGGATCCTCTGCAGTGAATGGGTGCCGTCAGAATGAGAGTCCAAACAGCTGATAGAAACATCACAGTAATCCACATGACTCCAGTCCATCAATTAATGTCTTGTGAAGTGAAAAGATGTTTGTTTGTTTGTGATAAATCCATCAAGCCATTTTTAACTTCAAACCATGACTTCTGGCTAAAATATGAGTTCTCTATCCATTAAAAATTGCTTTCTCCAGTGAACAAACAAACTCATCTACATCTTGGATGGCTTGACGGACAGTTTTCAGCAGTTTTTCATTTTTGGGTGAACTATTCCTTTAAAATAAATATATTTATTGAATTAATTTTAAAATAATTTTATAACATTAAAAAGTATCAAAATAAAACATTATTTTAAAATTAAATAAAACAATTTTTAGTTTTAATTGTTACCTTTTTAATTTGATTTATTATGATTATTATTTTAATAAATCAGATATTTTTTAAATCTTAACAATGCAAACAATTTCTTTCAGGTTTTAGTATCTAGGTACACATGGAACGTGCCAGTGAGTGCGATAGGTCAGATTCTTCTGGTGGTTTGTGGGAGTGTGAATTCCACCATGCTGAACTGATAAGTAAAGGCTGAGAGATAGTTGCATACAGTATACAGATCGTGACCTTGCTGCTTTCTGAACCACCAGAACCCCAGCCCTTCCTTACCATCCATCCAGCTCCTCCACACTGTCGGTTCATTATAGAGTGCTGCCAACACATCTCATGTATTCAACTCAAATGCTAAATCTGAAATTCTGAACATAGAAGCCAAAACAGCTTTTTTTAGCTTCTCTGAATGTTTCAGATCTGTTGAACAGCTTTTGTTAAATCTCTCTTTTGAAATGTAGTGATATCATACCAGTTTCTGTGATTTTAATGAAATGTTTTAAAGTGAGACAAGCCAGCTAATACCACAAAACGTCTGGATGTTTTCCCACCACAAATTATGTCACTTTCTGGAATGATAATGTCATTAATTCATTGGCTTGCAAAAGACAATGAAGATAGAAAATAGAAGGTGTAATTAAAACAATAGTCTCAAGAAAACAGGTTTTGTTTAAAACATTTTTATTAGAGAATGAAATCAATGCAGAAACACTGGAATGTTTTTTTTATGTTAAACGTTTGTGCCATAATATCCAGTCAAACCGTACAGTGTAATTAAATGAATTTTAAATTCAACTCCTGTTCACTTAGATTGATTGTCATCTTTAAAAAAAGGGAATGCATGATGGAGACATGAAAATGTACTGAATAGTAGGAATGACCCAGCTTACTGTCTCTGTTAAAGGGCCGTGGAATGACTGTCATCATGTGCTAAAGTCAGGAGAGAAGACTAGTGGCTTCCACCTGCTGCAACCACACAATACTAACTGTCTACTGCAGGCCTGGTGTGACCAGAGCAGAGCTCAGGGTGGCTGGATCGTTATCCAGAGGAGACAGGATGGCTCTGTCAACTTCTTTAGGACCTGGGATCAGTACAAGGTGCACGTAACAAAATATTACTTATGTGGTAAAGCTGACATAGTAGGCCTGTAAATAAGTCCACGTAGCATCTGTGCTAAGTGAACATTGCATAACATTTCTGCCAAAGCAACTAGTTCCAAACAAATTCAACTCAGAAAAAACATTGCACATCTCTCTTTGAATAAGTACTTTGTGATGCTAAAATTTATGTTCTTTATTATGGTATGAATGTGTGTAGAATGAATGTAATCCATACTACATCGACCTGTTGTCATTGTCATGTGACCTACCAGCATCAGATGTCTCTTCGCTGACGTTCACAAATCCTCTCCCGTGGCCTCATGGGATAGTAAAGTGTCCATTGGATGCACACTTTGCAAATTTGCCGGAAACAGTAGGTCATCTGGGTACTTTTTCTATACTGTTTTATGAATACTATATAGTAGAGAAGTGAGTCTATTCAGATGTAGCCACAGTAGCGGTGTTGGGTTTCTGTATTAATGTAATGTGCTTCAATAAATAATTGAGTGAATGATTCAATGACTCACTCCTAGGTACAGTCAGGTGTCTAGTTCCTGAAGGAATCAGTGTGTTTGAACAAATCATTTGAGTGAATGATTCAATGACTCACTCATACAGACAGTCATTTATTTGGTTTCTGAATGAATCATTGTGTTTGATTGAATTGTGTGAATGAATGAATCAATGACTCACTCATAAAGATTATCACTTGTTGCTGTCTACTTGTGTATTGATCACTAAACCACTAAAGGCTAGAATACACTACATGACTTTTGCCAAGAGTTGGCAAGTATATGATACCTATATTACCTAGTGTTTTAAAATCTGTTCAGGTTATCTGTTCAGTCATGTAGTGTATTCCATCTTTAATCTCACACCTATTATCCATGGGTAGCAATGGTATGTCCAGGTTTAATCCGTGGCCCTTCACAACTGATGGGCGTTGTGGGCCACATAAGCTGCAAAATAGGGTCCATGGGGGTGCTCATGAGCACCTTATAAATAATAAAAAGCAGATTTTAATGGACAAAATGCACCTTTTTAAATGAATGACATAACTATTGCCTATATACAGCAAGGCTTTGGGAATCTGGATGGAAAATACTGGCTGGGTTTGGATCACCTGTACTGGCTCACCTCTCAGGACACATACAAGCTGCGAGTAGCCATTGAAGACTGGCAAGGACGACAGGTGTTTGCGGAGTACGACAGCTTTCAGGTGGAACCAGACAGTGACTGGTACCGACTACGGTTAGGCAGTTATCAAGGCAACGCAGGAGACTCCCTCTCATGGCACAACAATAAAGCATTCACCACTCTGGATCGCGATAAGGATGCTTACTCAGGTGATCAGTCTATATTTGTTTTTGTATTTCACCTCATTTATATGGGTTGTCCTTAAAAACTGTTTTAAAAGCCTTCTGTTCTCTATCCTCCTTAGGTAACTGTGCTCATTACCAGAAGGGCGGCTGGTGGTACCACATGTGTGCCCACTCCAACTTGAATGGGGTGTGGTATAGAGGAGGCCATTACAGAAGTCGATACCAGGATGGTGTTTACTGGGCAGAGTTCAAAGTGGCCATGATGATCAAACCTGCTTAACATGAATAGAAACAAATCAGCAGAGCACCCAGAGAATTGAGAGTACGTAGAATAAGTGCCACTTTTTCTTCACAAAGATGTGACAATGAGCACTGAATGTTTTTGTGGAGCTTCAGGTTATTTTATTAGAGATCTAGTCTTAAAGTTGTATTAATATTTTTCAAACAAAGACACGATTTGAATATTTTTATTCAGATGCATTCTGATGCATAACTGCATTTTAGAATACTTACATTTTTTTTTCAACTGTCAAATATAAAAAGTGTAGTATTTTAGAAAATTGCATAATGTACATATTTTAGTCACTATACCAGAGTGTTGTCTAAAATTATAATTTTTTACTTTATTTCTTTAAACTAAAACAATATTTATTTTTAATTAGATTATGCATTTCATTTTGCACCTTTTTTATTACCTCACACATGTGGTTTTCCTCTTTCTTACTGTGAGTTTGGGCAGGATTTCCTGTTCTCAGACACTTCATGCCATGCTTCATACCATTATCACAATTAAGAACAAATAAATCCTTTTCACAAACAATACCAAAGAAGACTCTGCATCTATCATCCATCTCAGCCATTACTTACGGCATTATTGCTTATCACTTGCTTGACAATGCTTCTGCTTCAGCCGTTGATGGGTCTCTTGCTGATCAGCCTTGCTCATGGCGGTAAGTTCTCCCCATTTTGTCCTTTCTGAAAGTCTTTCTGTGGATCCTTTCAACTTTTGAAGAATTTTGACAGCTAGAATTCCAGCAAGTCATCTATAGAGGGAGTTCATCATTATTTTTGCAGTCCTGTTTATTTATTTTGTTTTTATGTATTTTTTTTCTTTATTTCTTTAGCCCTATTAACACTGAAGCTGTTTTGAAGCTGTTTTTCGAAGGTGATGTGGTTAGACCTACATGTCTAAAAAGTGTTTTAAAGCTATCGCACTTTGCAAAGTGTTCCATCTGATTTTATTTGACAAGTGATCTTAATTTCTAAAGCCAGAGACCACTAACTTTTTATTTGCCAAAAGCTACATTGTAACTTTTGAAAAGTTATTAGAGGGTGTGGTAGATGTTAGTCTCTGAACAGAAACTTAAAGGGATCATGTGATGCTGCTAAAAAGAACATTATTTTGTGTATTTGGTGTAATGAAATGTGTTTATGCGGTTTAAGGTAAAAAAAACCACATTATTTTCCACATACTGTACATTATTGTATCTCCTCTATGCCCCGCCTTTCTGAAACGTGTCGATTTTTACAAAGCTCATCGGTCTGAAAAGCGAGGTGTGCTCTGATTGGCCAGCTATCCAGTGCGTTTTGATTGGCCGAATACCTCAAGCATGTGACGGAAATGTTACGCCCCTTACCATATTGTGATGCCCTGTCCGACCGGAGCGACGAGACAAAAACATTAAAACCCATTATAAATGAGGCATTTGTTGCATCCAGTGGGGACATAATTATGGATTATAATGACTTATACTGTCTTTTTATGCATTGCGTTGCATTGCATCGCGCCGCGTAAACATAAAACCATGTCTGCATTTGTGATCTGAGAAATGACAAACAACAAGTGCTACTCTACACTGCCCAAAAAACTTGCGTTTGAATCATCAGTGGTAAATTCTTTAAATATAAAAAACATACTTACAGTCTGTGAGTCATTGTAGTCTACTCTACTAGGATCAGAAAACAGTCCTCAATAAAATGCGCTGCACACATCTGAATATTTTGATTAAACCATTCTGGAACAGTGTTGTAAATACAACTTAACCACTGATTTTTAGTCGTGTCCTCTTTTGGAAGGCCAAACAAAGTAGTTTCGCTTTCACAACGAAACAGCGTCACACACCGACGGCAGATTCGACAAAGGAGCATCCGGCGGGCTTGCGGCAACCACATGTGACGACCCCGGGCTGAACTCCGCTTCGTCCATGGTGAAATGTTGAAATCCTAGGTATGTGGGGGCGTGTTAGAACAAGCCGTTTTAGGTAGGAGTGGTTGACTCTTAACTTTTATAAAGAATATCTCTTTGGATTTGAGACTTTAGTCTTTGCAACTTTACAGATCTTATTTATGCACCAAGAGCTTGTAACACTCCAAAGAGAAAGGAAAAATTGAAATCGCATCATATGACCCCTTTAAGCACATGTAGGCAAGATTAATCTTGCCTACATTAAAAATTTATTAAATTTAATTAAAATTAACCCGCTGCAAGATTAATCTTTAATGAGCCAAAAAGAATACATGTCACACCTCTGTTCATCAGTTTGCACTACCAGTAGCTGCTCGCATTAAATTCAAGGCATTAATGTTTGCCTACAAAACCACCACTGGTTCTGCACCCATTTACCTAAATTCATTACTTCAGAGTTATGTGCCCTCTAG